CCAGTATATGTGATATAGGAAGTTTGGGAGAAGGAGGCATATGTACAGCCCAATTTTGTCAGATCTCAGAAGTTACAGCCCTGGTTAGTGTACTTGGAAGGGAGACCACCAAGGAAGACTCTGCAAAGGAAGGCAACGGCAAATCACCTCTGCTTCTCACTGGCCTTGAAAGCCCCTTGCTGGGGTCGCCATAAGTGAACTGTGACTTGACGGCACTTTGGACACATACAGAAACACACAGAGGACGTTTTTTGATGACTATCTATATTACATCTAATAGTTTACATGAGATTGTGTCACTTTAATCACTTTTTAGTCCCTAAATGTTGAGTTCAGAAACACCTAACCACGAGAGTTGCCAACAACCTGGAGAAAAAAAATGTTCTGCTAGTTTAAGGTAAAGGTAAAGGTTCCCTTGCTCGAAAGCCAGTCGAATCCGACTCTAGGGTTGCAGTGCTCATCTCCGTTTCAAAGCCGAAGAGCCAGTGCTGCCCGAAGACGTTTCCGTGGTCATGTGGCCGGCATGACTAAACACCAAGGTGCACGGAACGCTGTTACCTTCCCACTGAAGTGTTACCTATTTATCTACTTGCAATTTCTTGCTTTCGAACTGCTAGGTTGGCAGGAGCTGGAACTAGAGACGGGAGCTCACTCCGTCATGCGGCACCCGGGTCTCAAACTGCTGAACTACTGACCTTCCACAGCCTGCATTTCAGCGTCTTAATCACTTGAGCCACTGCAGCTCTGCTAGTTTAGCTGAGCCTTAATGGGATGGTATTTACCACCACCCCTTCCACCATGAAAAGCTTCCAATGCCAATTTCCATGCATTAAGCGTCTTTTAAAGGCACAGGACATTTTACCTCCAGCTTTTTAGCCACCCTACCAAAGAGGAAGGAGAGTGCTATTGGCATTTGATTGTTGCCTAGTGTTATTCTACCATTAGCACAGCACAGAAGACACAGAATAGGGACAGGAGTTTAAAATAATATTTACCAATAGTTAAGCAAATCAAACCCAGGAATTTTTATATGACACAGATTGATGACATATTCTGCTAACGGAGCTAAGCGTTAAAGCGGTTATTTTTTAACTTTGTTGACAAAGGATGGGGCAGTAAAAAAAATAAATCAACTTTAAGCAGTACCCCCGATCCTCCATGCTTCCCGGTTAAGGGAAAATGCTGTTTGAACAAATTACAAAGTTGATCTGACTCCAATGGTAACAACAGAAAGAAATTTTACTTACAAAAATAGAAACATATCTTACATGACATATTCATGGTACATTTAGCTTATTGTGAACAGATTAACTTCAAAAAGATTAACTTGCTACAGCTCCAAGCCCATGTAAGGGACAGAAGAAGAGGGGTCCTATACAATGCTCCCTCTAAGCTGTGGAGTCCTGTGAACAAAAATTCTAATATGTGAGCTACTGGCATTAAAGTTGTAAGCGAGTGATTGGGCTACTGCATCAATTAGTCTGCTCTGGAGCCCTCCTTCCTGAGCGAAGACAAAAATGTGTGAGCCAGAGGCTAAAAAAAAGTGAGCTAGCTCACACTCACTCAGCTTAGAGGGAACACTGGTCCTATATAAGACGACAACAGAAGCCAAGCAAGGGCCAAAGAGGCTCAGCATCTAACCGATGAGAGGGTGGGGCCAACTGCCAAGTGTGCCTCAGTGAGATAATTCTCTTAACCCTTTCCCTCCCAGATCCTCTAGCATGCAGAGTTACAACGTACAACACCACTTCTTAATGTTGCATGCAGGAGTTCTCAAGTTTCATCTTATCTCGTAGTTTTTCAAATCTGTCTCTTGACAGAGGTTTGATCAGGATATCGGCCACCATCTCTTTGGTTGAACAGTACTCCATCTCTGTTGTGCCTTTCTCAGTTAGGTCACACACTAAGTGAAATTTCACACCAATATGCTGTGTGCACCCATTTTTTTTTCTGACTGAGAAATCTTAATGCAGTTCTTTAAGCTGATTTGGCTTTTGCCCATCAACTCCAAAGCCCTTTAGTAACTGGTCTAGCCACGACAGTTCTCTGCGTGCTTCAGCAGATACTATATATTCAGTGGAAGACAAACTTACTGTAGATTGCTTTCTACTGGCCCAGGAACAAGTGTCAAACTGGAGAGCCAGTTTGGTGTAGTGGTTAAGTGTGCAGACTCTAATCTCGGAGAACCGGGTTTGATTCCCCACTCCTCCACTTGCACCTGCTGATGTGACCTTGGGTCAGTCACAAGCTCTGACACAGCTGTCCTTGAAAAAGAGCAGTTTCTGTCAAGAGTTCTCTCAGCCCCACCCACCTCACAGGGTGTCTGTTGTGGGGTGGGGGAGGGAAAGGAGTTTGTAAGCCGCTCTGAGACTCCGCGTGAAGGGTGGGGTATAAATCCAATCTCTTCTTCTTCTTCTTGTGGATTTTCTCTCTCCTGCCCCGTCTGCATCTGTGTAACCAACTAACTTTGAATTACCGGGGGATGGCAATCCTACTTTCAGATCTAAAATTCCTTTTAGATATCTAGCCACCCTTTTTACTGCACCCCACTCTTTCTTGCTAGGTGCACTTGTTGTTCTACTACGGATGCCAATGCTGGTTGCAGTGTTGGATCTGCTAGTGGTGCTTAGGTTTGGAAGTCTTCCTATGGTGTTTCTGTACATTTTCTTTAGGTAAAGGTTGACTTTTTTGGTGTTCTTAAGAAAGTCAGTTTCCATAGGTGTTGGATTATGGAGGGGGGAAGTCATGGGGAGTGGTGTATGGAAGTCAGTGGTCTGGCACTTTTCACGGACATGGTTTCACGTATTCACACAGATGAGTGACATATTCTGCTAATGGAGCTAAGCATTAAAGCAGTTATTTTTAATTTCTTTGACAAAAGATGGGGCGGTGTCTCCTGAATCCGACTTAGTTGGCACATATCTGGTGCCCATAAATTTGGCTGCTTTGAAACAAGAGACCTGTTATACAGTCAGATATGAGATTTCAGGACTTGGGACTTGCTCCCAAGTGAGTATAGGGGTGCCAAGAGGCTTATGGAAATTAGAAGACAGGCAACTAGAGAGTTTTATAGCTTGTCAGTTGACAAAGAAACATATATAAATATACAAACATACATAACCAAAATATACAAAACATATCTTCAATATACGAAACATATCTAAATATGCAAAATGTGCAAAATATATAAAATTGTAAAAACTGGAAAAAAGTATATACATTTAAGAAGTGCAGTAGACATGCTGTTGGCTTATGGGTAAACTGCAGCCATGCTGATAGACATAACAAAACTTGTGATATTGCTGAATTCAGGCACTCTGAACCTATGTATGTTTACTCCAGGTAAGTCCCACTGAGTTCCTGGGGTCTACTGTCATGTAACTGTGCATAGAATTGCAGCCTTAAATAGAAGGCGGGAGGCTATTTTACTCAAAGTCAGGAAAAAATTGTTACAGAGACTTGAGGGCAA